ATGTAATCTGGTGCAGTGACATTGGCCCCTCTCACTAGAGCGGTTAGAAGCTTGACACTAGGTGGCTCTCAACTGAGTAAAAGAAGCATCAACAATGTGTGTTCATTGAACCAAAAATAATTGGAGTTAAGTTTTTTGAGTTGTACTATATAAATGCAAATGTTTAATTATATATGTAAAGGCATTACATTGTTCTGTTAATAAATAGAGCTAGGGGTATGCTAAAGAAAATTATTAAGCAAGTTGAGACCAATGACCTCATTGTGTACAACATTTGAGGGAATGACACAACTTAAGCATTATATAATTTTGAACAAGTAAGTATTTAACAAATTTGCTACTGAAGATCAATATAAAAGCGTGCATTTTCATACACAACTTAACCATCATATAATTTTGAACAAGTATTTAACAAATGTGCTACTGAAGATCAATATAAAAGCGTGCATTTTCATAAATTTTGCCATCCCAAGCGGACTATCTCACTATCAAGACATTTGATGAGAAAGATTTATATCCCAATGACCCTCAAGAGTTAGTGCCTTTAGTTCCTCATTTGTAAGCTGTACTTGCTTATAAGGAAAGCTATCTTGTAAAAAATTTAGTTTACATGTTACCATACTTTTGGCTTTTTAAATGATAATTTCAGTTAAAGGAGCACAACTATGATTTCTAAAAATTATACATCTTCATATAATTCCATTGGGCGCACTTGCTACTAACTTCTTAATTTACAAATATCATATGATGAATGTTGTTTAATTTCTTTTGAATAACACTAACAACGTGTCATCTTTTTTGTAACATTATCTTATTATGACTATTTATTATACATTTTGAATTACACTATATTATGCTACAAATGTTTATCATAAATATTTAATCATACTCTATTGTTCTATGAATAATTATCATCTCTTCAATTGTACCATGTTGTCTCCAATCAGCATTTTCAAACCCAACTCAGATCATGTTCAACCCTTGATCAAATATTTGCTTGAGCCTTCTTCAACCATAATTCCAACTCCATTCAAATTTTGTTCGAATATTATTCGGATTCTATATGTTAATTTTTCAAACATTAACCCAATCATATTGGTACATAATTCAAACTTTATTCAAATTGTTTTCAAATCAATACCTCCACATAAACATTAAATAAATTTAATCTAAAATAAATTCCAAATATATTTCCCTAAAATAAATAACAAATACAATGAATCAAGCTTCGCTATCACGTAGGACAAAAAGACTTTACCTCTCCTTTACGAATACAAAACGTGGGAGCATCCCTAAACACCTAAACTTCCCATAAAAATGGCGAAAGAGCGAAGTGATCGGTTTCAACCCATGTGCGCCGTGCATTAATATTGTCTTTTTTCACCATTTCTTCAGCATGATGCTTCCCAATTCATATATCCACCACCTTAGTGACTTCTTTATTTATGCGCACATATAAATTTGAACTATGAAAATTATTATAGTGTTTGACTTGAAACAGTGATGTTAGCCAACCCCACTACCTTGCCCACTACTTTCCACCCTTGGTCTCTTCCGTCACCCACTTACCGGACGCAAAATTTGTGTCCGGAGTCTAGTGGTGATGTGCCACGTGATAAGTGAGCTCCACTTCTCTAAAAAAATATACTCAACCAGTATATTACAATGGGGCAAGTGCTCATTGGACTCCATACACAAATTTGCATCGATGTTTTGATAGAATAAGCGCTCCCAACTTCATTAGTGCGCGCGCGCTCTCTCTCTCTCTCTCTCTCTCTATTTGCATATGTATGTATATATGCATGCATATGACGAATCTCCTGATAGAATTTCCTATGGATATAGAGTCATACAATTTCCATGAATAAAGCTACCACCCTTCGCCGGAAAAACACATCCACAAAGAACTACAGATATAAAACATCTGATATAGTGTCAAAATACGAAAATACGGTCATAATGTGCTTTGGAAGGTCTGAATGATACTGTGAACTTCACTAAAGAATTGTGACAAATGTGAACTTCAGAATGATATACAGAATTTCACTTTGTTAAATACAAGACTCATCTCCTGCATTATCTCTTAAACATAAATCGAACAATCTTTCTATCTTCTTAATCTTTACATTGGGCGGGCTAAAACAAAAATTCTTGAATTTCATAAATAAAATTTCAAATGTTCTCTGCTTCCTCTATTTTCATTAGATTTCTCCGGTTCATAACAGCTTTTTACGAAACAAAACAACAGGAAACTGAACCAGAAGAATCCAGATCTAATCCAGCAGACAAGAGGAATTTGAAGTAGATTTAAGGATTCTGTATTGGTCAGAACATCAAGCTGGAACACAGAAGGAAGAACTCAAAGTTGGAGGCAATATACAGACTAGGTGGGGCCCAGCAGGATTGCAGCTTATGTTGGATTCAGAGACACCAGGAAGTCCGAGCTGGGGAGGATGAACATAACCAGAGACAAGAGGCAAGCAACTCACTGTGATAACTACCCTTGAACCTAAGATATCCATTTGTTTTATTAGAAGGCATCTTCAATGAGTTAAATCCATGGAGGTATGAAATTCCTCTGATTTACATTACATACCACTCAATTTTTTGTAATTACATATCTGACAAGAGGCAAGCAACTTTTATATACATGCAACCTTACCCGTGCATGCATGAAAAGGTATATTTCACTTTTTAAGAGTTAAAATAGTGGTATTTTTTATGTGATATGAAAGATTTGGGTGGTATAAATATAAAGTTTAGGTGTTTGAGTGTAAATACATAGGAATTGGGTGGTATGTATGAAAATACACCAAAAAAGAGGAAATGAATCGCAGACCTTGTGTTAAAGCCAAAGATACATGCCCCCGTTTCCTCCCAGCAATCATCCAGTTCTCTGGATTAGCATCTACTTCATAGAATAGCTCATCCTACCAAACAAAACACATGGAGACATATTAGCAATCCAAAGATCAAAGGTTAAGTAATTGAATCAAATTGGGTAAAAAGAAAAACAAGCATATTGGATAACTTGCTTTGGCCAAAGATGGAGTTTCCTCTGGATATTTCAATCTTTCGAGTCTCCATCTCATAAGGACTAGCTGTCCAACTCTCAGGCAATCAGAAGTGAAGGGAAGAAATCCAACCGCCAGACAAGGATCAAGCACCGGTCGCTGTAAGGCGAGCGCGATCTTAAACAATAGCTCACCTTTGCCGTCAGGTTTTATATTCACAGGTATATGGGCACCGACGGCTCTATCACCCATGATTTCATATTCAATATTCAAGATGCTATCCGTCTTCACAGCCTCGGTTTCATCTAGGGGAAAAAAGCAATCAGTCTATCTACATAATATTAAAGTTGTGAATACGTTTGAATCAAAGACAGATCCCCTGCGGGAAAAAAAAAAGAAGATTTACCTACATACCACTTTGTTCCTATGTTTTTATGTAACTAACACCTAAACTTCAATTTTTACATGCATGTCATCTTACCTATGCTTGAAAAGGTGTATTTCACATTTTAAAAGTTAAATGATGGTATTCTGATTCAAATTTTGTTAAACTATGCCATGCAGTTGTGTAGTAGAGTGCAGAACATATATGAACACACCAATTAAATTACTCTCTCAACCAACTTTCTAACCCTTAATTCTAACTAGTAGAAAATGCATACAAAAATATTGACAATTAAGCAAACAGTGGATTCTCCATACTACAGAACTGTATAGCGTTAACTGTGAAAATGGAGAATCAGAAGTCCAAAATTGACAACATGCCTCTTCGCTCAAGTGTTTACTGAAATCTGAAATCGTAATTAGAGTATAATCCATTACAAATTGAATTTTACTTCTTTCAACCTTAAGGTTAAATAGAGTGAATAAAGCCAAAAAATCACCAAAATCACAGAAGCAGGTGATAATTTTCAAATGAAAAACCTCACCGCCAGATAAAGAGAAGGGCAATAAGTAGAATATTAACATCTAGAACTCTGATCTTATTACTTTGGAGGCTTTTTCATTTAATGATCATATTTTGTCCGCCGGTTTGGATTGAACATAATCACTTTTCAAACAGGCATGCAGAAGTCACCATATTTTGTATATATTGTCAAGCATAAAGCACGTTAGCAAATATCAAAACTCATGGCACAGTTTTGGATTTGAAACTCATGGCACAGTTTTGGATTCGAAACTCAAGCCAAGAATGGCTTTGTTGTTGTATGCTATAGAAATGCCAGTATATCATGCACAGCCTATGTGGCACGGCCAACGATATTTGGCACAAAGAATATCTAGGAAATGCAGCAGCAGCAACAAATCCGTAATTAAAGTGGTACATCATTGATATATCTGCACGAATCTCGAGAAGATCCGATGGATCGCACTAAAAGAGATTAAGATTATTTGTGGTATGTGAAATAGGGACCTAACGAGAGCTTGCGATCATATGTTACGAGATTCTAGAAGGAGTTGTTTGAGGTGCGGAAGCTAGAGCCAACAGTTGCCAAAGCAGCCTTAGCTCAAGGACTGAAGAGTCTACATACAGTTAGGTATATTTTGGGTTTGTGGAAACCCGAAACATTGGCCGAACTCTTGGAGTTGGCTAATGATCACATTGCACCCAAGAAATATATGAACCGGCCAATTTCAAAAGATGAGAAATCAGATCAACAACTGGGCAAGAAGAACTCAAGAGATGATGGATGGAAGGAGAAGGATGGCCCTCGTCAAAAAATTGAAAGAGGCCGCTCAGCCCGAAGAAACAAAGAAGATGAACAAGATGGACACTGATGCAGCCGATCCAATGACCGTTCCAGGCCTACGCTACTGAAAGTTTTGATGGCGGAACTCGTAGACGCAATAGAAGATCAAGAGTTTCCGAAAAGCGACCCCAATGAAAGCCAGAGTTTCCCTCTAGAATCCTAACAAATATTACAAGTATCACAAAGACCATGAGCAAAATATAGAAAAATTTTGGCACCTCTGTTGCCTGGTGGAGGACTAATTCGGGTCAGGAAGCTCAAGTAGTTTGTAGCCCTGGAGGCCCACACTCGACGGAAGGGCAAAGCCCATGCAAATGACGAATCGAGCTGGCCTACCTGAGCCAATGCTATCCACATAATAGGGATATAGTTCTGACAAACTTAGGAGGCGATTCATTCCCAAGACTCCACCAAAAAAAGGAATTGATCGGGGAACTACTATGCAGAGAACTTTATCCCCAAAAGGATGCCCCATCCTTCAATCATTTTCACCGATTTAGATCTTCCTCCAGCAGGTAATTCCTACAATGACGCCATTGTTATTAGTGTTAATCAACAACTATCAGGCGGGGAGTATCCTGGTTGATATCGGTAGCTCAGAGAATATTTTGTTCTGGTTTGCATTTAAAAAGATGAATTTGACAATTGACTACTTAACTGCACCAAGCGGCTCATTGTATGGATTTTATGGCGAAAGAAAGGAGGAGCTCGGTATAATAGCACTCAGTCACCTCAGGAGAAAGTGACCAGTTCACCAATATCGAGGATTTCTTGGCAGTCAAGGCACAACCAATCTACAATGCAATATTCGATCGCCTTCTCAACAATTTTCGAGTTGTGGCGTCTACGTACCACGTAGCGGTAAAATTTTCCTGCAACGGAGTGATAGTTACTATACGTGGAGACCTAAAGCAGTCTCGAATGTGTTATCTGCAAGCCATAGAAAGCGTGGAGCAAGAGACGTTAGACATAAACCACCCACAAGAAGGAAGCCTTGAAACTGATGAGGCTATCATCAAAATCACAGTAGACATCGAGGATCCTGATAATTTTTTCTAATTAGTGAATCTTTTAATGCAGGCCACAGGGAGATGTTGACCCAGATTCTCCACGATCACCATGATGTTTTTGCCCGATCGGCAGCTGAAATGTGTGGCATCCCAATTGATGTAGCTTGTCACAAGCTAAACGTTAGTTTATCTGCTCGACTTGAGAAGCAGAAGCTCCGGTCGATGGCACCAACTTTATCTGAAGCAATTCGCGAGGAAGTAAGAGAACGCTTGGAGGCAGAATATATTCAGGAGGTTCAGTACCCCTCCAGTGTATCCAATGAGGTTATGGTACAAAAATCCAACGACAAGTGGAGAATGTGTGCGGACTTCACAAATTTGAATGTTGGTTGTCCAAGGATGGCTATCCACTGCCTAAGATCGATGCTCTGGTGGACTCCACAGAAGGATAATCGATCATGAGTTTCCTAGATGCTTTCTCTGGTTATGACAAGATCAAAATTCACCCAGTCAATGCAAAAAAGGTAATTTTTATTACTAGTGAACGTTTATATTGTTTTACTGTAAAGCTCTTTGACCTGAAAAATGCTGACGCTACTTATCAGCATTTAATAAATATAATTTTCTCTAAAAGAAAATGAAAGAACATTGAAGTCTATGTGGATGATGTTTTAGTAAAAAGTAGAACGGTAGAACAACATTTGTGCAATTTAAAAGAAACTTTCCAAACACTTAAGAAGTTTAATATGAAATTAAACAAATTGAAATGCACGTTTGGAGCTTCCACCGGGAAGTTCTTGGGATACCTCTTGACACCCGAAGGTATTAAAGCTAATTTCAAGAAAGTGAAGGCACTTCTCTACATGCCTTCTCCCCGGAAGGCCAACCCCGTACGAAAGCCGATTGGCTGAATTGTAGCCCTCAACCGATTTATTTTCAAGTCAGGAGACATGTGCATCTCTTTCTCCAAAGTGCTAATGAAGGCCAAAAGGATCGAGTGGACGGGCGAATGTGAGCAAAGCTTTCCAGAGTATGAAACATTAGTCAATCTCTCCACCGCTACTGCAAAGTTCGAATCCAAAGGAAGAACTTTCACTTTACTTGGGAGTCGGGTCGGAAGCCATTAGTTTGATCCTGGTCTGTGAGGAGTCGAGGAAATAATTTCCCTTCTATTACACCATTCAAGTCCTCAAGGGGAGCCGAAATAAGGTATCCTCTTATGGAAAAACCAACACTTGCTTTGATTTTTTCTGCTCATAGCGTCCAACTATATTTTCAAATTCATCTGATTAAAGTGACCATTGATCATCCACTTAAGTCTATACTCATTCGGTCAGAACATTCTGGTCGATTACTAAAGCGGTTTGTAGAGCTCAGTGAGTATGGCTTTACTTGCATCTCTCAAACGGCGATCAAAGCTCAAGCTGTAGCATACTTGGTGGATTTCTCGGAGTCGGATGGATCAAACGAAGGATCTGGGGCTGACATGCAAACTTGGATCCTTCATGTTGATGGAGTTTCAGATCAGACAAGAGAAGGTATTGGCCTAACATTAAGCAATCCAACCAGAAAGCATATCCATCATTTGTTCGTCCTTGATTTTGCGGTAAAAAACAATTAGGAATAATACAAAGCATTGATAGCTAAACTACGGTTAGCTCGGGAAATGCATGCTCGACATTTAATAGTAAAATCTGATTCACAACTTGTTGTCAACCAAGTAAATGAGGAATTTGAAGCTCGAGATATGAGATAATGGTCAAGTACTTGAATAAGGTGAAGATGGGAATGTTTAAGTTTATAAGTTTTCGTATCAAAAACTTTGGTTGAGAGGAGAACCAAGTGGGACATCTCTTATCGAAAAACATACATGTTGGAAATAGAACGCCTCAAAATCTTTCTTAGGAAACCATTGAAGAGCTAAAAGTAATAGGGGTGGAGGCGGGCGAGGCCAAAAGCTGGGTAGATCCTCATATCCACTACCTGAAAACAAGAAAAATCGATAAGGCAATAGCAAACCCCCAAAAAGTCAAGCTTAAAGTCGCCCAATACCTTTTTATTGGAGACATGCTATTTCAAAGGTCAACCACATCTTTGCTTCTAAGAAGTGTCAAAGTGAAATCGAGAACATCCTTTGGAAAATACATTCAAGTGAATATGTAAGCCATTTAGGGGAAAAAAATTTAGTTCGTCGAGTTCAAAGACACAGTTATTTCTGGTTGACCCTCTAAAAGGATGCATATTAGTTTTCTTGAAGATATCAGCAACGTCAGAAATATGCTCCACTACAGCATTAGCTGACACAGAAATTACAACCGATCATTAGCCCCTGACACTTTGTCGTTTGGGGGCTGGATATCCTCAGACCATTTCCTCCCTCGAAGAGGCAACGAAATATTTTTTTGTCGTCTTAGATTATTTTTCTAAATGGATAGAGACAAAAGCTCTCACCCGGATCACTGTAGGCGTACTTCGGAATTTTATTCGGGTAGGTATAATTTGTCAGTATGGCTTGCCCCTAATACTCATCACAGATAATGGAACTCAGTTCGCTGATCAGGGGGTGAGAGATTTGTATCTGAGTCAGAGGATCAACCTAAAGTTCTCATTCGTGCATCGCCCACGAACTAATGGCCAAGCGGAAGCTGCGAACAAGATCATTCCAAACTTGCTGAGGAAAAAGGTGAAGGGTGCTAAGGGTAAATAGGCGGATTTGCTTCATTCGATCCTTTGGGTAGTCTGAACCACTCCGACAAGATTGACCGGACAAACGTCATACATGTTTTTCCATGAAATGAAAATCATGTTGTCGATTGAATATAATCACCATAGTCAAATAGTTACTGCAACGGCTTTCGACAAAAAAATTGTTCACTGACTGGCAAGAAGAAAATAACAACAGAGCTTCACTCACTCTTGATATGTTAGAGGAAATTCAAACAAACTTTGTTCTGCGACAGAGAAATAAGAAAAGAACCACATGTTACCACAACAAGCATGTCCGAAAAAATATATTTTTCCCAGATGACCTAGTACTAAAAAAAAGTTGGCCTAGTTGCAAGAGGTCAATCGTTTGGCAAGCTCGATCAGACCTGGACCGGTCCTTCCATAATCAACCATCAAGTTGCCCTTGAAGCTTACAAATTAAAGTCGTATACAGGAAGAAGGCTCCAACGGACATGGAGTGGAGATGGCCTTAAGAAGTTTTATCCTTAAAAAATGATTAATTTGTATCTATGATTAAATTTGAGAAAACAATACTACTATAAAGTAAACTTGTCTTATTTATTTCTCAGAAAGCTGTGATGTGGTGCATAAACCCAAACTGAGGAAAAAAGCTCGGAGAAGCGAAGGATCGATGGACCTCATGTCATAACGAAACTTGGGGAAGTGGATTATCCATAAAAGACAATTGAAAAGAGTTATGACGCTTGGTCGCAGTAAAGACGAGTGAAAAGCATTCCGACGCTTGGTCGCAGTAAAGACAACTGAAAAGTGTTTCAGCGCTTGGTCACAGAAAAGACAAACGAAAAGCGTTCCGACACTTGATCGCAATTAAGACGACTGAAAAGCGTTCCGACACTTGATCGCAATTAAGACGATTGAAAAGTGTTCTGACACTTGGTCGCAACACATTCTAAAAGCAACCCAAAAGCATTCCGACACAAGGTCGCAACAAGAAATCGCATAAGGCGTTTTGATGTGCGATTGTAAATCAAAAACTTAGAATTTTTCTAAGTCCCTGAATATATTTGATTGCCTTACAAGGTGTAAATCAATTGAAAAAATCTTCAAACCAAAGTCCAACTGTCTAGAAGTTGACATCCAACCAAAATCATGGTGTTTAATCCTTTAAATTGTTGTTTTCCAGTTTAAAAAAAAAAGACTACAAGAGACAAAGCACAGCCGAACAAATGATCACAAGTAAAAACAACCAAAATGTCATATTTCATTCATATAAATGTCTATTACAAAATCCTGGTATATACACTTTAAAAAAAAGCAGAGAAGAAAAGTTAGAATTTATTATCTTTAGGTCGAGTGTTGGATGAGCCGCCATCCGCCATATTGTCGCCCTCAGATTCTTCACGGTGCTCAGAAGCAGAGGGGGAGTTGTAGAGCTTCTTGAACTTATTAAAGTTAGAATATTTAAGGTCAATCATCCCCGCTCTAGTGAATTTATCAGCTATAATTTTTCAGCACGCCTCAGACACTCAACTTGCATGTCGAGGAGTTCTTTAGCGGCCGTCATAGTAGAGATCTACTCCGACAATTCAACATTCTCCTTTTGAACCATAGATATTCAATCAGATGCTATCTCCAATTCCGCCCTGGCGTCCTTTAAGTCTTCCTCTGCCTCGGCCGCCTTCACAGAAGCAAGCTCCGCTCACTCTAGATACTTCCTAGCCTTCTCCTCTCCCTCATGGATAGATAGAGGGAGATCAAGTGGTGAGTGGAAGCATAACCCAAGAACTGGAGGCGGTTGAGCACTGACACAACTCAACCAAGTGGAGTTCATTGAAGTGCTCGTCCAAACCTGCCGACCATAGGATATCGACAATTGTGGAAGCATATCCTACCAATGTCGAATTTAAGGGGAATCAATCCCTTTGAATATTCACCAGACCAAGAATTGAATCAGAATTCATATAAACCTTTGGTCGGTTTTTTTGCAGTGGGATCCATCAATCTTGACCCCCTTTTTTACTTCTTGGTAGTGTTGGGAGTAAAGAATCAGAGGATACAACTTTACCCTTCATCCTATGCTCGGTTGACTCAGCTGAGTCGAGGCTTTCCTTTGAGCTTTCCTCTGAATCTCCATAAGCTAGCTCCCCCTTCAACCTGTGTAGTTTGAGCCGAAGGTAACAAGGGGGATTGGCAACTTGCTTTGTCCCTCTCTGACAGAGGGATAAAACCGAGGGAAGACAGCTGGGAGACCTTCTATGTTAAGGGACGCTCAGAAGATCCTTAAATATCCGCTTGGAAGAAAGAAGGTGTTGCATCATCTCTTGCATCACCTATAATCACCAAGGGAGGTTTTCGCTCAATCAAAATAAATTCACCAATAACTTACTTTGTATAACAACAAAAGTTTTGGAAACTGAATGAATGAAATCCGAACCTGGAACTTGACCCCCGGACTGGCCAGCCTCTTCCATTCCCTTTTCTATCTCCCTAGCGGGGCCCCTTCCTTGTCACCTTGTTCGAGAGCAAGTTGGCTTTCTCCAACTTTCGCTTCTCCTCAGCCTCGTCTGATGTAGCTCACACCACTTGAGTCATCGGGCCATATTCACTTGGCTATAACATCTGATTCACGGTCAAGAGATTAGTATATTGGACAACCGATAGTTATCGGTCGAGAATGACGTGTTTCATTGCTTTCAGTCGTCATCTTGCTCTTCTTATAAGGGCCACCGGTTGCCCTACTTGGGATCCTCCAATCATCGCAAACGCCCCTCAGAAACCAGAGTTTTTAGTCCTTCATTTTAATCTCCAAGAAGATTAGATGAAACTTCCGGGTAAAACTGAAAACCAAATACCTGTCTGTCTCGACTCAGAGAGAAAACATATGTGAAAATAGTCAGAGGGACCATGGAACACCCATTCAACGCAAGTATATCACATATGTCATTATCGCGGTAATGGAATTCACCTTCACTTAAGCTAGAATCCCCCCATACAGTTGAAAATCGAAGGAAGCTCTATGTACAAATGCAGCTGAAGCCCAGAGCAAAATTGGTCATGGTAGAAGATGAGATCGTCGCCCAGGTAGTCAGTAGCCCGAACATCCGTATCCCCTTGCTCCAAGATGACACTTGTGTTGTAAAAATAAGTCTCGTCTAACAGCTTGACATCGAACTTGGTGAGTATCGATCTCTCGGTCGATCTAACTGAACCAAATATCTGTAGAGAGTACCTGGGAGCCATCTAACTCTAAGATAAGCCAACCCAAGGGTAGTAAAAGCAAAAAATGCAAATATTCCACTTAGCATCCGTTTAAACTTATACATAGGCCTCATGAGGAGGCCGAAACGCCACATCGGGTTCCGCCAAGATGTCACTTCGACGCAAAAATCAAGAAAAGCAATGATCACTAAATTATGGAAAAGTGAAATTTTATTTATAAAAAGAAATATTTTACAACAAGGTCGTCCAACACTTCAGGCAGGATCGAACCCCAGCTCATCAGACTCATATACAATGCACACCCACCAAACCTATACTTTTCTATTTTTTCCTCCTTAGTGCGGACATGGGAGATCGAGCTGGTGGCACGCAATTTAACCAGTTTGCCCCGTAGGTTCGCCACTTCAGTTCGGAGGTCTTCCACGTCGGCAACCCCAGCCCGAAGGGCCTCCACATCCACAACTTGGGCCCGAAGAGCCTCCATATCAGCATACATGACAGCCAGTTCTTCTCAATGACCCGATACAATGGCATCCTACTGAAGATTCACTGCTTTAGTGAAGGAATCAACGATCTGTCCAAACATCGGGCTAGCGACTCATGAGACTCCCTTCGGTCATTAGTCTCTCTCTCCGAGTTAGCCAATGGAGGTGGTAGGATTGGAAGAGGCGGCGTGACAGATACCACTTTAATCGTAGCAGAAGCAGAAGGACCAGTAAGCGCCTCTGACTTAGGTTGACATCCAGTCTCTATGGGTCGAGAGTCAATAAATTGTACAGTCTCCTCTGTAGTGTTAGAGTCGATGTGATAAGAATAAATTAAAGGACCGAATAAAAGAAAATCTAAGTTACCAATCATGCATTATATCTTTGACGTACGGAAACTTTTTGCAACAAGGGGAGGGGCACCACTCTGGGGACACCCTTTGACCAAAGGCTGAGGGGGAATACCTTCCACAGGCAGGGCTCCATCTCAGACAGCTTCATCAGCCAAAAGTTGGATCAGATCATCTATCGGGGGAGTGGCCTCCAAGTTGGAGGTTGAAGCAAAATGAATTTCGGCGGCAGAACTTTTGTTGTCATCGCCCCCTTTTTGGAACGACAATTTGGTTGGACGTTGACAGAGCAGTTCAACAGCTAAAACAAATGCATCTGAAATGCGTCCTCCTTTCCGACTTCAAACATATCGAATTGGTAACAAATCAGATGATTCACCAACCTCTTCCACCGCTTCTTCGACGTCAGCTGTTTGACTGATTTGGACCCTTCTGGTTTGGTCCCTTCGGCCGAACTTTTGGTGCCAGTCATCCTCTTTTCATATCTGTCATTTCTCAACCGACCGAACTTATTCACCGGCTCTCTCCTGACGAGAACTTTCGGGTTTTTTCCTTTCCTCATCCTCATAGGAGAGAACCTTCGAAGCGGGGAGCCCAAAAGCCTTCATCAGTGCTTCTTTGCTAACCGGTTTCTTGGCACCTAACATATTAGTTCGCAGATATAAACGACTAAAAGACAAAAAAATTCGGAAAATAGTGAGAAAAAAGGCACATCACTCCCTTATAGGGGAAAGCGGCACGAAGATCAAGGAGTACAATTATTTAAATTTATTGATAATTATTTAATTCTCTTATTCTTATGCTAGTTGTTATTTTCAACGAAGAGAATCAGTAAACTAATTATGTACATCATTAATATGTCTCGATGAATCTCGAGAAGATCCGACAAATCGCACAAAGAGAGTTAATATACGAACAGTCATTATTATACAAGTCGGCATCTAAACCCAACTGAAAGAAAGACTAACCAACTCAAGGAACACCGTTTGCCCCTGTCAACACCAACACCTACATAATCAGCATCTGCCATTGGAAAAATCAACAACCGACTGGGGGAAATTCTTTTTTTATAGACTCATCGACCATAGATAAACTGTCTATCATATTACAGTAATAAACCCTCTACCTGATGGAGCACTCGTTCACAAAGGCAATGAGTCTCTACAAAGGGTCCCCTTGAGAAAGACAGTCGAAGAACGTTCATCTAACCGAATGACTTGTGACCCACCGAATGAATATCAGGTGATCAAACCAGGCAGTTACAAATACAAAGCGGTGCCAAGGGCAGTTACAGATATGGAACAACACCAACAGCAGTTACAAATACATAAAAGTGTAATGGCTTATAGATTATTGTAACATCCCCATTAAATGAGGAGCAGTTAAGTAAATTGTTATGCCCTTCATACAACTTATAAATAGCAAGATCACTTTCATGGAGGGACACTACACAATTCCCTAGAAACTTAATTATTATTTGTGTTTCATTTCTCTTTCTCTCTTTCCTTTCATTTGACTAACTTTCTATTTCTTTGGCGTGATCCACGGAATAATTTATGATCCAACAAAAATCTTGTTGCAAAACTATTCTGTTAAATGTAGGTATTGGCAGCTCAATATCGGGCTC